AGATGCCTACGGACTATCGTAAGCGACTTAAAGTTGAAGAAAACGCACGTGTTTTTGACAGTAAAGCACCTTATTTGGGTCATGCGTATACAGAAAAGAGACACGAATTCCGGGCCTCGTGTCGCTTCTCTGTGTTCGTATGTTCTCTGGTTGAACCGCTGTGCACTTGTTCCATGCGTTCCGCGCTGTCCACGTGAGTGGCCACGTCCTCTGACGTAGCTTCCTCTTCCGGCTTCTTGTCGACCTCGCGTTTCTCTCCACCAGCCTCTACTGCTTGTCGTTTGTCCGCCATTACCCGACGCTTGATTGGCGCCATTTTTGCAATCTCGCTTGAAATGACCAACTTCGCCACACTGGAAGCATGATCGATCCTGTCGACCTTTATTTACCACAAATGTACTGGATTTTCTTCCAAAATCATTGTTTTGATTTTTTAATTCGGACATCATAACCTTAGTTTTTACGTAGTCTGCAGTTTGATCATCTTCTTTTAATGTATCTATTAAATCACCAATATAACTGTACGACTCTGGCAACGTGTTTAACATATAGTTCAATTTTTCCTTTTCAGACACACTAGCACCCGCGCTTTTTAACTCGTTTATAGCTTTTTCGAAGTCACTAAAAAATGTTGCACAGTCTCCATAGTTGTTCAATTTTAATCTTTCCAAGTTATTTCTACATACTATCTGCAATGCCGTTGATTCTTTCAAATATAAATTATCAAATTTCTTTATCATCTCATACGCCGTAGTTTTTTCGTCGATGTACTCCATCTGTCGATCCGATATTGCACCGCATATATAATTCATTGCTTTTACATCATCGTCATCCCAATTTGTATCATCATTTTCATTTTTCGGTCTGGTTACCACAACATCACACTTCTTCATTTTCAAAAATAGCATAAGACGTTTTTTCCACATTTTATAATTCTCCCCATCGAATATAGGTATTCTAAAATCACTACTACCTGCCATCATGTGTCACACTTTTTTTTTTTTCAAACTGCACCAAACTTTTTCTGTTGTAAAAGGTACGACTTTCCAACCACGGACCTCTGCTACCATGTTAAGGTGTGGATTTGGAAAATAAATAGTCGTACTTTACTACTATTATAAAAGGCTTTATTTCCTATAACATACATACTAATTAACTAACCTAACTTAAGCCACCATACTTCTTACTACCACCTACAACTACATGATACTCACTGACATTACTATTATTGTCTGTCATGTCAACCCATGACACTATGGGTGCGTTCCGCTTACTCTTACACCAATATATCTGTGTATACAATATAAATGTATTACATTCTCAACAAAAATTTTTATTGTTCTAACAAATTTAAAATTTGATTTCGAACTGCAGCACCATTTCTGTCATCAGGTTCATCATCAGGATCATTATTGTCCAACTGTAAATCAGGTGCTGCTTCATTATTGCCTGCAGGATTGTTTTCATATAAAAATTCATCATTTAATGAAATATTATGCAAAACACAACTTGCTCTTATTAAATGTACACAATCAGCTATAGAGCGTAATTTAAGATGGTATAACTGCCTAAATTTTTGTTTGAGGACTCCTATGCAATGCTCTACTAAGTACCGGTTAGCACACAGTTTTGAATTATAATTTATTTGGGCCCTACTTAACTGCCCCCGGTCTCTAAAGGGTGTTAATAAATTGGGCAATACAGGATATCCACTGTCTCCTAATATATAATAATTTCCACATTTTTCTTGTAGTGTCTGAGACAATGGAGAACTGCGGAATACTCGACTATCATGTACAGAGCCCGGGTAACCAATAAATATGTCTCTGATTTGTAATTCATGGTCACATACCAATTGTAACTAAAACATAACATAGAATAAATACATTTTATTACTGTACAGTAAAGAAAATTACCTGAATCGAATAAAATCCTTTTCTATTTATGTAAGAATCTGGATCATCCTTTGGTTTGTCAATCTTGATATGTGTACCATCAATTATCCCAATTACACCTAAGAAACCATTCGTACGAAAGACATTCTCAATTTTAACTTTTTCTTCATCGGTTGGCCATTTTATTATATGACTTGAGCAGTAGCTCAAAAAGTAAGTCACTTTTCGTATCACTCTAGACAAAGAACTTATTGTAATGTTGAAGCGGTCTGCAACATCTCTAAAACTAGCCGTTTGATGGCCTATATACCATAAAAAAATTAAAACTTGTTGCATTGCTGACAATTTACCATATGGTCCTGCATGTATTTTATAGTAGTCACTATTTTGAAACTGTTCAGCTATGGACTCAGTAACATGCCGACTTATTCGAAAATGCTCCTTAAACTCTGTTTCATTGTATTGGGAAACAGTTGTTTCAAAATAGTTTCTATTTTTAGGGCGAATTCTATCTTCCAATACAATTTCTTCCAAGTCATCACTGGAGTCGCTCATAGAGGATAATGACGAATATTCACTGTCACTCATTGTTTTATAAATTATAATATCAAAAGTATAAAACACTAAAATACAATATTATGTATGTACTTAAAACAACAAAATTACCAAAACAAAGGTACCTATTTAAAATTAAAAATAAACAGTGTAGGTGTGAGTAAATTAAAATTCGACTAATTGCGCATGTCTGTGATTACCAGTTTGCAAAAAGTTCGGAAACTTTTCAAACTGTCAGGAACTAATTTCAAACTGGTTTTATATTTCATGGAACAGTGTACTTTGTTGACAAGGTATCAGAGAAAATCTTGTTGGAACGGCGAAATTATTATTGCGCATGCGTCTGACAGTCGGCGACAGTTTGAAACTTCTGTAGGAACAAACCTATTATATTATTTTATGGATTCTGCAATTTTGTGATTTATATAAAAAAACGAATGAATTATTATTTGTTTCTTTTGATATTAATTCCAGTTAATTATTAGAATTTTTTTGGCAATTGCCCTTTGTCGAATCTTACAAGCATGTTAATTTTCTCAAAGAAAACGATAAAGGGTATCTTACACGTAGTTCCAAAGTGCATGTGACACAACTTTACTTCAAAGGGTGTCTCACACGCATGTCAATTATTTCTCAGAATAAATTTGTTATATGGCTACCAATGACGTATAATATATAGACTCGGTGAACGCTTTAAAAAGTGTCCAAAACATGAATGACTTTGTTATTGTTTATTGTTTTGATACGAAGATACACGAAGTTCATGATTTCTTACGAAGCATCACGAAGTTGATATTGTGTTTGAAAACATCATGGACGTATGAAAACATTTTCTCCATTATGTGTGACAAGCAAATTTTATTTTAAATTGTTGAGAGTTATTTACTTACTATTTTAGTAAAATACCACACTATTTTATCAAAATAATTATTTCTCTTATAGATTTAAAATATAAATGAGCACGCCACTGTACTGATAAACATATCTTTAACCTTGAGCCGAGATCTTTCGGACCAGAGATATGTAAGAGAAAAGACACTCTCTGTTTCGGACACTCGATTCTATAGCGAGAATAGGGGACTGCGTAGTCTATATTATATTATACGTCATTGATGGCTACCTACAATAAAGGGTATCTTACACGTAGTCATTAATTACACACACGCTTATCAATGGACCGCAGGAGTGTGACGTCACGACTGTCACATTGTCATTATTACTTTCCAAACAAAAGTTGAAATGTCAAATCTCAAGACTTTTTAATATCTATAAAGTTAATATTTTGCTACCTCTGCTGCTTTTTCTTGTAAGCATAGTATTTTTTACGATAATTCTGAGTTCTATTTCTATGAAATATAGTTTAAAAGTTTAAATTAAAGAAATACTAACCTTACTTTATTGATACATGCATTTTATAGCTATTAGCATAAAATAATGTGCTTTATTATTTACATAACCTTTTAAAATTGTTGTAGTAACTATTAGAATACTTAAATATTGCAAAAAGCGGAAAAATTCTATAAAATAAATGAAAAAATAACTAAAAATACAAATTATCCTCACTAACCAAGGTTTGTTTGGAAAGTGAAACTGACAGATGTCAATAAAATTTACGTCATCACTCCTGTGGTTTTTATTTTTCACAGCAAATATATGTTCTGTGATTATCAAACCTTGATGCATTTTGTGACTTAAAAAGTCGAAAAAACGTCAATTTTTGAACAATTTTTTCAAATGTCCGCGATATTGTTTTTTAAGCGTTTTTCATTTTTTTTGGTAAACTATTACGTAAGGGCACTTATTTTTAAAACTATTCTCGAATTTTATGTTTCAGATTTTCCGTTTGAGATTAACGGTCCGCCATGGAGCAGTAATTTTTGGACGAACAATTTTTGACGCTAAAAACAGTGGAAAACAAAAGAAAAAAATTTTTTGTAATCTTTAAAAGTAGTATAACAATATAAAAGATGTGTAATTGCCATATATAATAAAGATACAAAAAAATTGTTGAAAATGTTTCTTTTTTTAGCATTCTACGCGGTAATATTACCTCAACAAAGCTTTTTTTATTTTTATAATATTAATTTATACTTTTGTTTGTTTAGTAATTGATGCCAGACTGATGGCATGGCCATTTCCATGAGGATTCGTGTTTTTACTGCAGTGGATCCTCCTATAATTTTTGTATCGTTTTTTTATCAGCCTTATTGGCGACATATTTACTTAATATTGCTTACAATCGTGCAGATGCAGACGCCCGAATATTTCACATTTTTTACTGGAAATATTTTTTCTCCTTCCGGCATAAAGGAAATATGATCACTGTCTCTTGTCTTCGCACAACAAAATAACAAGTATAATTTTTACATTCATCTTCCATAAAATATGTAAATCCACTGATTAGGCTGACCTGATTTTGCCGATAAATGGGCGTTACGGCATTTAATTCCGGATTGTAGCAGTGTGTTCCGTTGTTGACCGATTCAGTCAAATGGGCGCTTACCTTAAAATCTAGAAATAACCTTAAAGGTAACAACAACCAACTTATTTAAAAATACTCTTTATTTGTAACAGAAAACAGTTGCACAACATGAAAATGTACAATAATTGAATAGCAAAAATTATATAAAATAAGGTGATAAGTCTTTGTTTATAGCACAACCATAAATAAAAAAATAAAACATTATATCAATTAAATTTATACTCAGAATAAATTTAATTAAATAAATTTTAAAATTAAATTGATTTAAATTTAAAGTCATTAAAAAATAAATTTTGCAAATTTGTATTAAGATTAAATAAAAAATACTAAATATACTTCTACTTTGAGCTTATATAATGACACAATAATATTTTGATTTCCTTTTTTTTTCATGATATGTTCCAATAAAATCGGCTTGAAGTTGTTAGAATATAATATGTAACAATGTATAATGAAATCTAATATAAATAACATTTATCCAGGAGAATTTATAAATGATGGGTGTTATTTTAACTACAAGTTTAATTATTACCACTACTAGAAAGAGAGGGAGAGAGGGAGAGAGTCTGAATAAAATAAAAAGTGAAATAATAGTTCCTGTATAAAGTATTTCCTTGTAGTATACCTATTAACATGTCGGTAGACGTTCATTATTAACGAAGATACGATGTAGTGTCTTTTTTTTAGTTGTTGTTTGGTTTTTGTTAGTCTAGTCCCCCCTAGTATCCCTCCTTCCCACGGATGGGGTCCATCAGCACAACTGTAAACGAAATTGCATAATTATGTAAATTTTTTTGTATTTTTTTTCCTAGACTCAGTGTACCTTTTAATAGCACTAAATAGTACACTTTAGCATAATTTGGTGACATTGTATGAATCCCTTCAATCGCTACTTGTAAACATGGGTGTGCGTTTCTTGTTTTGTGCTGTAGTGTTTTAAATTTTTTTAACAATGAAATATTTATGTTTAAAATTTTGTAGTTCACCCCTGAGCTTTATATAAATATTTTTGTCTTTATTTACATTCAAATCCCCCAATTTTCTGTATACATTGTGAGATAGAAGATTTCCAAATTCCGGTTATAACTAGGACGTTAAAATAATCAATATAATACGTGTTTTTTTAAATTTAAAAAGGAGTTTGTTTCGAGGTCGCTTTGTGACGTAGTTGAGGCCTGTTTTAAAAACAAGAAATTTATGTTAGAGAGGTAAGGGAAATACCCTCGCCGGTATTAGATGGAGGTCAGGAGAATTCAGGCAGGTTGAGAAGAGTAACGAAACAGCAGAGGTTGAAAGATTTGGTCGAAGGCAACGGTCATTATGTAGTTTTGACAAAAATACCTGCAAAAATTTTTTGAATGTAGTGAAATTTATTCTCTGTAATATGTCAGTTTAGGAAAGAGTAATCACTACACATTTTGCAAGGTATTTAAGACATTTGTGTCGCCTGCAGCAATTCTGATGTTCCAGTTTCCTATTTTTTTTTTTAAAGTCCAGTCTGAAGTTTGTATCTAGTACCGCCCATTTCAATCCTCCATGTCTTGAAGCAGTCCTTTTGTTCGTGTGCAGAGATTTCCAGTCCAGTTCTCCCAGAAATTTTCAAGTCCAATAGATCCAGTTCCCGACCCCAGACATGCCGAGTGAAATTTAGTGAAATTTAAAGATAACTTTTGTGTTTAAATTTTAAAGTAAAGATAGGACATTTTTTTTAATAATATAATTGCTTTCATTATTTAAAAAGATAATTTTTTATTTGCAAATTTTTTATTTAAAGTTTTGTAGCAACAGTGTTTGTAAACGGCTAGGACGCATGTAAGTTTTTCTTTTTATTTTTGTATTTTGCGACTATTGATATATTTTTACATTGTCTAGTTTGGTATGTTTAATTTGTTTTCTAACCATTTTGTTTATTTCCCTCTCTGACCCTTTTTTTGAGTTTCATATAAAAAGATATATTCTTATATTTAATAATTATTTCTCTAGTTACAACTAGCTGTTGTAATGGTTATAATTAGGCACCTCGAAGTGGCGTCCTTTTTAAATTACTAGAGGTGTTCCCTATTTCTTTTTGTTTTGTCTGTCCCAAGAGATTCATGACCCTTTGTTCCATTTTTCTGTAATTGCCCCAATCCAACCCCTTTGTCATTTACTTATCCACGACCCCAGCTCTCCTAACAAACCCTGAGTGCCGTTCGCATATGTTTCGATTATTTTGCTTGCCCTATCTCCACCCCAGTAGTTTCTGTCTCCAATTTTCTACCCCTTATATTAATACCCCATGTGGTAGGCAAAATATTATCGTTACAGTGCTATGGCTTGGCTAATATTCCAGCTATAAATGCATTTCTTATATAGTAAGAAATAATAATACGAACGCAGAATGTCCGTCTTCTCGTCTATTGTTTCTGAAGTCTTTAGGAATTTCGTTAGTCCAGATGTATCCCTGCTGCAACACTTTCTGGAACTGAGCAAACGACGAGGGATGACTCAGCCTCAGCAAAACGGCGATGGTGTAAGTATTGCAAAAAAAGAAAAACTTGATATTTTTGCCAGTTGTACAAAAAGTGGTTATGTACGGAACATATAAAAGCATGTTGTGACGATTGTGTTGAAACAAAATAACATTATTTAACCCTCTCTATTTTCTGTTTTCAATTTTAATTTTGGATATTTAATTTTTATTTGTATTACTGTAAGTACAAAGAGTAATAATATTGTCTTTTTTTTTATATTTTTCGTTTGTATTTTGCCGTTCATGATTTTTTTAATAAAATCTTGTACAAAAATAATGGTGTTAGTTATTTCACAGTAAACTATACCAATACATATTGATCAACACATCTTAAATGTACATTTAGGTAGTACACCGTTACATCAGATAGTTTTCTTAAAAACATTTGAAAAGAAAAATTTTTTTTAATGTGAAAAATAATGTTTAAAATTTTTGAATTCCCATTCGTGGATTTGTGTCACAAGAAAGTCCGTATTACCCCTCGTGGAAAGGAGGGTTAATACGTCGTTTGGATGCTACATGCCTAAGGTTCCTTTGGTTATCCTTCCTCTAATCCTCAACCCTCCATTATTCACTTCTTGAGCTACACCCTTTCCGCGAAAAATGAGTTCAAAGAAAACTCCACTGTCTCTAGAATTAAAAAGGATCTTCTTCATCTTTATAAGCAATTGTGTCAGGCTATAAGCCTGAAATACTCAAAGGGTATGAGATGCACACTTGATTCTCGTGCAGTTTAACGTGTTAATAGTTCGTAGCATATGTTTATATTTAATTCCTTCCCGTTTATTAAACAAAAAATTAATACTTTCCAGTATAAAATCCGCAGGTAAAATAACACCCGTTATTTATTAATCACCCTATATATAATTAAGTCTTTATCGGTGATGTTTCGATGGATATTCAAATCAATTGAGAAAATAAAAGCTCTATTAACGTTTCAGTCTTCACTAAGGGATGTCAACATACAGTTGACAACTGTAGTATGTAATAAGGCCGCCGATTTGACTGCCAAAAATGTAATAAAGCTTTTATTTCGTTTAATTGCGTGATATTAATGTTATAAAAAAATGTAAAACAGATGCCAGAGATAGAAAATTTATCATATTTTAAGAACAAATCGATCAAATATAATTTATGTAATATAGGGTACTTATTTTGAAAATGCAGTTACGTAATTTTTTTGACATCCATGTGCGCCAACGTAACTGTTTATTTCTGAAATTTTCATGCATTGAATTTATGGTGGAATTTACTTTGTTGTTGTGTTGGTACTACTATAACTATCAAAATCATATAATAATTTGATAACAGTAAAAATATTATATGATCCCAGTCCAAACTGTCTAGAAAATTTAGTAATTATTTTTGCTATGTTTATTAATTTTTCACTGGTAGTGGCTGGAAATTACTATACAACCAAGCATACGTGCTTATAACAAAAAATATTTAAATGTGATAATAAATTTTACAATTTTGACATGTGTGAGGCAAATATTTGCGAAGAGAAGACTGCGTTAACAATCAGGCAATATTGTCTATTTTTCAGTTGTGACGCAAATGCATTTTCTGCAAATACCCTTCATTTCTATATGCTACAAATATTGTATTAGAGCTTATCGTATCTAAAGACCGTGGAAGTGGGTGCGTACGCATGCGCCTTTTTGGTTGAACAGGTGCATGCAAGTATGAGCGTTCGTATTTTTTGTATACTTGTTTGTCAATATAATAAAACTGTGAACATACGTTGATGTGTCTTGAGTCTAGCGTAGACCCCAGACATCCAGCGGTAATGTGCTGCACTAAATATTGGGTAGTTAAAATATAACAACTATGAATGAATGTTGCAGATATGTTTGGATCAGTGGAGTTACAAATAAATGGATAAAGGATAATATTAAGAATGAATATATTAAGGAAAAAATAGGTGTAGCATCAATTATTGATGTCAAGATGAGAAAGTATATATCAAGATAGTTAGGCTACTTTCTTCGTCGTAACAGCCAATTCAAAGCAGTAAATAGGAAAAATATAGCACCATCATTTTCTCCCTATCTACTATAAGTAAGTCGAAAGAATCGTCCGCATATATTTTCTTGTTATCTACTACTGTCTCAAGTATGTATATTTTCCCTACTTGTAGATAATAAAGCCAATTAATAGAAAAAATAATATCCGACTAAACCTATAGTCCAGTCTATTTGACTCTGTTTGATTTATTATACATAAATATAACACCCAGCAATTACTGTTACAAGTAAGCAAAGATTAAAACGTAAGTGTCTCTCCCGACACACTAATGGCTATTGTTAACAGTTGTTAGGCAGAATTTTGAAAGCTTCGTAAACCCTTATGTGTACTGTTCTGAAGCTATTTTTTTGTGGGATCTTAAGAAATTACTATTTTTATTGGGAATAAGCCACAATTTAAGTTTAAAATAAGTTTGTTTCAATTTCCACTTCGGAAATCGTTCTTAAAATACAAAAATGTTTGTTTTTAAACTTAACTTAAATTGTGGCTTATTCCAATAATGACCAGTCCACCACTTGATTACCTAGTTCCTATGGCGAAATTTGGTCCTGATAGCTAAAATTCGTAAATCTAGATAGCTAGGTGCATGGCAACAAGACTAAGCTGCTCTGACCCATCTTTAGAGCGGCTGAAGCAGACTCACGGCCTTTTCAGATTGCTTAGTATTTGCCCCAGCGACTGTTCAATGCGAAATGATAATAATCCAATACGAAGATTCACAAGTTTTAAGTTCCTAGAAGAAGTAGAACAGGACCGAAGAAGATGCAGTTTGAGACATCTGGACAAGCTATATGTGTATAATATGATTACAAGACTTTACTCACTTTATTCCTATACTCATTAAAGGAATACAGCCAAAGATAATGATGTGTAGTTACTGGAAACTCTATAAAAGGCTTTATTACGAATATAGCCATCAAAACATAATATACAACTTAAGTCATGCCAATGCTTCTCTAAGACATACAGTTTCTCCACAGATCATTTTACTGGTTGTTTTAAACAAGTCCACTACCACTTTAATTACTTATAAGTTGATGCTAATTGCGAGCGTGGTTTTTAAAAAGACTTGGGTACGCCTTAAAACAATATTTGTAGCGATATACTGTTATAAACTATGTATGCTACCTACTGATTAAAAGAATTTTATATTTTGGTTTATTTGGCATTCCGGATTTGGTATTTCAAGCGTACAGGTTTTTGGGAGTCTTAAGTGATGGTATTAAATCAGTCTAATAGTACCGACATATCCGTTATACAAGTTGTATCACGTTCAACGCAACTGATTTTACTGGGATAAGTAAATAAAGATCACAAAGAAGATCCTCAACAGGATGGATCGAAATCACTGGAATATGCATGAGTTAGAAGAATACACGACATCACGATGATTACTACACTCCCTTCGGCGGTCAGGATTGAAAACATAAGTAAATAATTTTTTTTTGAGAGGAATACATAAACGAGTATTAGTTAAACAAAACATTACTATTTTCACTGCGAATAAGCCACAATTTTACAATAAGTTTATTTTGCTTCGCCGAGCTTTCGACACCTTCTCTGGAGTTTTCATTTGGTCTTTTAAAGCCTCAATCTCCTGAGTTCCCAGAAGGGGGTTTAGGAGGACTTTACTATTACACAGATCACTATTCACCCGCCATGGGCCAGCATAATCTTCCCACAGGTCATAAGGTAGGATTTGGTAAACAGAACCATAGCGGACATCCGGTTTTATAAACTAAGGATTGGCCAACAAGCCATTGAAATTGAAAAACGCTTTGATTGTCTTAATATAAGGAGATAGCCGGCTATACTCGACAAGCAGGATAAATCAACGTCATTATCAATACACTCTACACATACAAAATTTCAAAACTATATGCTATTCTGATGGTATTTAAAAGTCTTTACATGAGCGTTAAGAAAATTCAAACTTAATTTTTGACAAAAATTGGATGATCAATTGTTTACTTTAATAAACCAACCAGTGTTATCATTCTTCTTCTATTTCTTCTTATCCCTCTTCATAAGCAATTATGCTTGTTCATTCGCTGATTAATATCTCTATGGAAGGTTGTCATGCCATCTTTTAAACAGTTGTCTGGTGATCTCTTGCTATTTTGAAGAGACGGGTCTCCTCGATTCTGCTTATGTGGTGATTCCATTCTTTTTTTCTATTTTATGTCCACTCATTTATATACTGTACGTTACATGTCTTCACTTCTTTCGATCTCTCAGCGTATTTCCTATAATTCTTCTCAGTACTCTCATGTCTGTCGTTTCCAGTAGACTTTGTCTTGTGGCTGTGTCAGGTCTTGTTTATGAGGCATGTCATTACTGGTCTTACACTGGCTGTATAAATTCTTGACTTGCTCTCAGTGTTAATGTGACTGTTTCGCCATAGATATAGTGTTATTAGGGCATCATGCCAGTCTATTTGCTTTTTGTACTTGCTCTTTTGTTCAATGTGTGGACCAGTCTTTGCCGACTATCTTCATCTTGGTCTATAACTATTGCATCGTCTGTGTAACAGAGTATTTTTATTTCTTTGTTTCCCATTCTGTATCCTCTTTCTTTGTTAACGCTTTTGGTGATTCCAACCATGATTAAATTGAAGAACGGGGGAAATTGAAGCATGAAGAATCCCCTTGTCTTATTCCGCTGCCTATTTCAATAGATTCTGTAAGTTGTCCATATATTCTGACTTCCATTTTGTTGTTATGGTAGATCTTTTCGATAGTTTCTATAATATTTAGGGGAAGTTTCTAATTATACAGATGTTACGATAAATAATATGTCTCATAAACATCCTTTTTTAATTGTGATATGTTCTAGATTTTACGACCCTTCGACCAGCTGGCAGAAATCCCAGGTATTATACCTATCATAACCGGTCCCCTATCATTCGAACGTTCCGGAACCAGATCGAATGGAAAAACCAGCCCGTGACCTTCCAGTTTTTTCGCCGAGGGTCAGGAAGGTCGACATTCTTCGAGAAATCCTAAGTTAACGGCTGTTTTTTCGTATAAATATAACGGAACTTCCATTGTGGAGTTAGTCAGAAGATCATAGCGCGCCGAGATTTAAATGTAACGCTCGTCTTAAAATAAATTATGTAGTTATTAGTGTGAGATGAATTAGTTCAAATAAAGACTTTAAAATCTTACTCTGTCTGTTTTTAAATTTAATAAATAATGTTGTTAATTGTTCTCTCATTGCTGCTCCACAATATTTCAGTAATTCATTTGGTATCCCGTCTTCACCTGCTGCTTTTCTGTTATTCAGGTTTTCAAGTATTTTCCGAATTTCCTGTACATTTCTATTAAGTTTTTCATTTGAGGTAATATCTGATGTTTCCGGTTTTAGCGTCGTTTGTTTTCCTCTGCATAGAGCTTTTTAGGTAGTCAATCCACGAATCCTTTTCTATGTGTTTTGATTCTATTAGTCTCTTTACCTCCGTTCTTTGACCTCTTATGAGACCGTAAAAATCATGTTTCATTTCTTTCGAAAAGCGTTCTCAGTGATCATTTTTTATTTTTCTTATAACTGCATATGTTTCGTTTCCGTTTCTTTACATTTTTTCCTTCACTTCTGAACAAAACAGTCATACAGAACAATGATACAAACAGTGTATCATTTGCTTTAGAAAATGGATATTTTTCTGTACTTTGATTAAGATAGAGTGCTAAGATTTTTTGGTTACCTAGAAAAACATACATAAAAATGTTTAATAAGACCTTTAGACTCAGTTCGAATTGAGTAATTTACCAAATCCAAAATGAATCTGTGGCTTTGAATCGGAATTTTCGAATGAATCCAGCCGATGGAAGTAATATGGTGAGAAATAAGCATTGAACCTTACCAGAAGGAGTTAAGACGCTATAAAACTGAGACAGAAATACATAGCATAAATTGGTTTCATTAAATTCGCAATATGAGCATTTACAGCCTTTGTACATTTGTTTTTCTGCGTATGAACGCTAGAAATACCAAACATACGGATGAGCTTGTTTGTAATATCAAAATCTAATACTGAGCATCTTAAAATCTCCATCAACTTACATAAAACCAACCTTATAGACATATTTTACAATTATAGTTTAGTAGATAACTGCAGTCGTATTGATCTTATCAAAAGTCCATTTCTGAAAGACGCTCTCTTTACAATCTTCAACTTTGACGCTCCTACCATTGTCCACGCCTTCGCTACTTAAGCATTTGTTAACCGTGGGACTGTATATGGTACCGTTTTTGAATAGCTGCCAGTATTGTTCCCTCTTATGGCCGTGGCACAAAGTTAGCTGGACGTAACGTTCGTTAAATACCTAAAAAAGAGAGGTATTTACAAAAATAAAAGAAACCAAAATATTTTACTAGTTGTAAATTATTTTACTTGTAATATGTGTACTAGTTTATGGCGATATTTTTTTCTAGGTGGTAGAAAAGTGGTGCAAAGTTGATGAATTGACTTTAGCTAATGCTTGTGTGATTTATCTCCTTTTATATACAAAAAAAAGTGATTTCCTTTGCAAATAGGCATCTTAATATTGTTCTGAAGCTATTTTCTTGTGGCATTGTAAATTAATTACTATTTATAACTGGGAATAAGCCACATTAAAGATAAAAATACATTTATTGACGTTTCAATTTCCAATTCGGAAATCGTTCTCAAAATACAAATAGTAAATTAAACAAATTTTGTTTTTTGTTACATAGTGAAAAAATTCTTCTGATAATTTAATTTTATCTGACTCATTTATATTGACAATTCAGACATACATTATGCATTTTAAAGTAGACGACTTTAAAATGATATTGCCAATATTGTTGAGTTGCGCTCCTGGGACGACTTTACTTATAAGATAGTTCATTCGATTACATGAAATCAACTTTAACTTGAGAATATCCGTCAGAAAAAATCATAGCATGTAATTCGTCTTTAAAAAGACAAACACATGACATGCTGACAGTAAAAATTCTCCTGTTAGTGATTCCATAGTAAATTATGAGGGAAAAACCAGGAAAAAAAAAAAAAAAAATTAGAGCCAAAATTACTTGTTCTAACGAAAATTCGTTCTTGGAGGAGAAACATTTGTTAACATCTGTTTTATTAAAAAATGATTATCCTTTGTCGTTTATAAATAAGGAATTTTCAACAATCGATCGAATAGAACAGAACAACTTAGAACGAGATCCTACAGCATACACAAGGAATAATATGAGGAAAATAACAATACCGTACATAAAAGGATTATCAGAAAAACTTAAAAGGATAGGAAATAAATTCAACATTTCAACAACATTCAAAACAACAAACACGTTGAGATCTATTTTGTCCAAAACCAAACCTAACAATGAACAAGAAAGGACAAAGAATTGCATTTATAAAATACCTTGTGAATGCGATCAGTTTTATTTAGGTGAATCATCAAGGCCATTAAATGTTAGAATAAGTGAACATCAATCTTATATTAAAAATAGAGAATTTGATAGATCTCAAATATGTAAACACGCATGGGATAATGAACATAGAGTTCAATGGAATAATTCAAATATAGTCCTAAAAGAAACGGATGGTAAAAAAAGAAAAATCAAAGAAGCGGCTCTAATTATGCTAAATGAGGCCAATTGTGTAGCAAATTCCTCGGCAGAATGTAGTAGGATCTGGTTACCAATATTGAAAGAGGAAGTTATTAATAAGAAAATACCAGTATTAGTAAGTCAGTAACATATAGAGGATACATCATTTATGTTTTGTAAATAACGTAACATAAAATCAGAATTTTGATGTTTGTTGAAGGTAAACTAAATTCACGAACAAATACTTACAATGTCGGGATAGTATTATGAGGTTTTTTTCCTGGTTTTTCCCTCATAATTTACTATGGAATCACTAACAGGAGAATTTTTACTGTCAGCATGTCATGTGTTTGTCTTTTTAAAGACGAATTACATGCTATGATTTTTTCTGACGGATATTCTCAAGTTAAAGTTGATTTCATGTAATCGAATGAACTATCTTATAAGTAAAGTCGTCCCAGGAGCGCAACTCAACAATATTGGCAATATCATTTTAAAGTCGTCTACTTTAAAATGCATAATGTATGTCTGAATTGTCAATATAAATGAGTCAGATAAAATTAAATTATCAGAAGAATTTTTTCACTATGTAACAAAAAACAAAATTTGTTTAATTTACTATTTGTATTTTGAGAACGATTTCCGAATTGGAAATTGAAACGTCAATAAATGTATTTTTATCTTTAATGTGGCTTATTCCCAGTTATAAATAGTAATTAATAGGCATCTTTTCATTACATGACGAGCGTATGCGCAGCCGTCATACTTTTCGTACAGTTTTGATCAATGACGTATAATATATACTATACATCATTGCTTATCAATGGCTGAGAACGTTGTATCTTCACAATTAAATAAACTATTAGAAACAATCGTTGACGGTGCTTCATTTACTTATAATTGCATTGAGGTTCATAATATCACCAATTAAAAAGGTGGGTCAAATGTCATGAACGTCTACAAAATAGAAAAAGGGGTGGACCGAGGTAAAAAACTTTTTTAATAAAAACGTCTTTTGCGGATTTTATTGTTAATTGAATTTATTAATTCGTCTATATAACCATATTTTAATGGTAGATAGATATTTTACTAGTGTTCTGTCATGGTCTATCACTCTCTAACGGTAAATATGAAAATATCTTTAGTAAACATCTATTTTTATCTTGATACATTTTAAACTAGCCTTTTCAATTCTGGATGTGATGTCTGTTGTCATGTGCCATTGATTATGAACGAACATAGTCCATGGGTAATGGGAAATAAATATGTAAAGACAAAGAGAAAAGAACTAGAGAAACAGATAGAAATAATAGAAGAAAACGTTAGAAGCAAAGAAAACGGAGAGACAGGTGGGCATGTATGACAGATGGGCATTATAACAAATGAGACAGTTGGGCATGTATGACAGGTGTGGCAGATGACATATGTCAAAAACATAGGATTAGGCAAAATGTCGGTAGATGTACTGAAAGAAGGAGAAGCATGATTAAATAAGAAAATAGCTGGACTTATTTTAGAAACTGGGCTAATTAAAAAATGAGACGGTTGAAGCATACGTTGCTAGTGTAAAAAAATAAAGACCTTAGGGATATGACAGACGGAAAAAAGGAAGAATACAATTTTTTTTATTACCTCAGCACAGACGTTTTCTTTCCTCAATTCACCCTTGTTACTCATCGAAAAGAACTGGGACAACGCCAGGAAGGAATGGCACTGGTACAGCCCTAAAGGCCCAACTTTATCCTCAGGCAATTGCAAATCGTCCAAGCACATGTCGAATTCTGTGTGAACTTGTCCATAAGCGTAGGTGTCTTCGTCGGGGATGTACTTTTCTGGATAAACATGATCCAAATACCTAAAATAGAACAATCAAGAAAAAAAAATCGTTATAGTTTAAATAGGAAAGTAAAAAAAAAACCGTACAGAAAGGTAAATCTTTCTTTTTCTTTACCATTTCTGCATGCATTAAGCTTAAGCAAAGTTAAGGTAACCAGTTAATGGAAAAATTGCACATTTACACTCATTATTACCAATTTCAATAAATGTTATAATGTTAGTCTTATATCTATATTAATTGTATGATTCTTGTTTACCATTTGAAGGATTTACATCGCAACTTTTGTCTCAGTTGCTTCCGATGAGTAAGATCTCCAACTATCGGATTATTTTCCAATCCGGGTTGGTGCATGAAGAAAAACCTCTTGTAGTCGTCCATCCAAACGTGCGCCAGTCGGGCTGTGTTAATGCCGTGCGTATCTTTGTTGTCGGGAAATGAATATGGGTGGAAATCGCGAAAGATGTGACCCACCCTCGAGCATGGAACCTGGAAATAAAAAAATCATGTACTTAATCAGTATCTGCAGGGTGTATAACTGGTACTTAATAGACTGTTCATAATTACTAATGTGTTATTACTTATTTAAACTTCCATATTAAAGAGTAAAGACCGTATCACACTATGCATTTTCTTGTATCATTTCTTATATCGTTTCTGATATACCAAAAAAAATGGATAGTGTCATACAAGCTTATAAGTTCTTATATCAGAAACGATACAAGAATTTGTGTCCGCTGCAGTTTCTTGTACAAGAAATGCGCCAATTTGTGCGCAAAACCGTAAAACTAAAACTTCTGTCATAATGGCGACTGGAGGAGAACTTTGATATACAATTAGACCAAGCAGACATCAGAGATAAGTGCCCACCAACAATAACCAAGATTAGAATATCAGTAGCCAAATTGAAAAACAATAAATCACAGGGATTGGATCAAATAGCATCGGAACTACTAAAAGTAGGAGATGTATTACTAAAAACAATACATAACCGCTCTAAAAATTCGTGATGAATTTAAAGATTATTTTATATCTCCAAATAAGAGAGTAGAATTTCAAGAGCATGCCATTCAAACACATAATTTGTAAAAAAAAACAAATAAATTATTACAACCAAATTATTTATTATTTCTGTCTTCCATTATAGCCTGTCCAATCACATACACTTTTCGGTAAAAGAACTTGCATAGTGTCATACAGAGCACAAATGTACGTACAAGAAACGATACAAGAAAACATAAATAAATTTCTACCAGGTGGTGAATCGTCAAACGGGCCATAGAAAACTCAATGGGAAATTTTAAATTGTTGAATTGCTGCTTCCCTAATTATGTTAGATCAAAAGTCATAAAAATCTATTTGTAGAGGACTAAATTCTAAATTAAAAACATTAAAATGTTAAAACCGTTCTACGAATCAAATGTACTTCAAAATTTTGTAAAAATATAATAGATTTTTCAGACCACCCCTAAAAGTTAGGCCACACGTAATACAAGAATATATTATAACGTGTGTGTTTTATCATATTGATGTCAGATGTTTTCTGACAACTGAATTTCAATTTGAAGACAATTTGAATTGTCAATTTTTTTATTTTGTGATTAAATTATAAACAATGAATTTTACTAAATACTACTACTACTACTGAACAATATTACTTTGTGAACAATAAATTATATTGTTTACAAATCGATCAATATAATGAAATGTACTCAGTTGACGAAAAATCGCATAATGTTGTATTCAGGCAATAGCGCGAACCTTTTCCTGTCACTACCGGATCTTTATTTAACGTAAGATATTTTAATACACTAAAATTTAATTCCATGTTAAGTTAAGTTATACAACAATTCAATGAATTCCAATATACTGTTACTGTGATCTTTATTCCTAATAATAATATACGATAATTTCTAAACATAAAACTATAACAAATGTTATAATAAAACATGAATAAAACATTTTTATTATTGCTCTTTTCTCCTTAACTGAGTACATTTTTTAATCAACTTAATTTTTCTTTTAAATAATAAATCACAAAATTTTGGCCATTTAAATCATAGATAAATATAATATAGTTGATTTAAATATTGTCAAATATTAGAAACGTCAATATGACAAAACGCAACACGTAATACACATTCTTTTCACGGCGTCTGGCCTGACTTTTAGGAGTGGCCTGAAAAATGTATTATATTTTAGCAAAATTTTGAAGTACATTTGATTCGTAGAACAATTTTAACAATTGTTTTCGATACATATTTGAGTCCTCTACAAATAGTTTCCCATGACTTTTGGTGTAAAATAATTAGGGAAGCAGGAATTCAACAATTTAGAATTTCTCATTGAGTTTCCTATGGCCCGTTTGGCGATTCACCACCCTGTATATCAGAAACGATATAAGAAATGATCCAAGAAAATGCATAGTGTCATAAACAAATTTAAAGTTGGTTGCCTAGATTCACGTTATACCACGCGAATTTTCATTTGTGCTTTTGAGGCGTATGGGGACCACTAAGTAAAGTACGACATTTCCGGGTTTACGTTTGTTTTTATCATAAATCAGAGTACCATTTGACATACTTCAAAGCATTATACTCTATGTTTCGTTACGGTAAGACCAGCAAAAAAAAGTATGACGATAGAGATGGATTATTTTGGACAAAGCTGTAGTACCAAAAAAATCAACTAACATGGTTTGACTTATAAAAATGGTAAAATAAGATATTATAGAGCAGATTCTCTCTGCGAACAAAACGAGATAATTATCACGGCAGGTAAACATAGAAAACGGTAATGGAAGTGTCCCAATAACAGTACACTTTTAGTGTTATTTTTCGATTGACTTTTTATTCAGCGTCTAGTAATAATCTTTTAATGTAAATAAGGACTTACCGTTTCCAATCTGCCCCCGCACTGCCAAATCCTAAACGACATCTCCAAATTTTCTCCTCCCCATCCGTCCATTTGCTCGTCATATGATCCTATGTCCCAGAAATAGTTCCTTTCGATAGCGAACAATCCTCCTGCCATCGTGGGCGACTTCACTGGTCCTAGAGTGTGTTTATCTTTTTCATCTTGTATGTCTATCCACGTAAAATGGCCAGACCAAGAGAATCCGCCCACTTGAAAGCTTGTGTCGCCTGAAAATATAAATGTTACAGTTACAAATGACGTGAATTATTTAGAAAGTTCTATCCATTCTAATTACATACATCCTCGGAGCTAAAACCGGTGGTTTTCGGCTTCTTTCACAATTCGCTTCTAGTCTCATATTTTTTTCTTACACAATTTTAGATTTGGATCTCCCCGGGGGGATTTTTTTGTACCCTGAGCCATCTGTTCTCTCCTTATCACTCAGCTGAAGCTTGTGCTTGCTGTCCATTGTTGTTTCCTACACCCAGTCTAAAACTTTTGTACTCAGAACAAGTTTGTACATGTGTTTTGCTTGGTGTGCGTCTTAGAATCGCATAATACATTTTCACAGTTTCTGGTTCCATACTGTAGAGTCTACAGTTAAGGTCTTCATTTTACATGCCTATTTTATTCAGGAATTATCTTACTAGTGTGTGCCAGGTCAACATTCCTGTTACTGTTCTCAGTTTATTCCTGCCCATATGAAAAAGTTCATCTATTCTTTTTATACACGGTCCACATTTGAAGATTTCTCAATGTTTGTTTTGGGATTCTCTCCCAATATCGCTCATCACATTCTTGGATTCCAGTCCTTCATACCCTTTTTGTTATTGATCTGTTTTTTCGCTGCCCTTAATGCTCTGGTATCCAGACAAGCTCAACTTGTTGTAGTCTCCGAGTTCATCCAGTTCTCCGATGCATTCCCACATCATCTAGAAGTCATTTCCTGATATACGAGTACCTTCAGTGCGGCTTGAATGTCTAACAATACACGGATCTGCTCTTTTTCAAGAGCTCTCTCATTGTTTTCTCTTATACATTGCAACATCACATAAATCTTCGTTTGGAAAAAGCTGCAATTCGTTCGCAAGGCAAAGTTTCAATGACTCTCGATTTTTTGGAGTATATTCTTGCACCCGCACTCTCTCCAGATTTTGGATCCATCTGTTTACCAGATCTTACATTTTTGGTTGTAGTATTCCTTGTTTCCTATAGATCCCTGTCTGGAATGTATGAATACTTAAAATTATATCTTTTTGTTATGTAATCCGATTCCACATTAAAGATGCCTTTCGTCATAGTCCATGATCCTCATATGTCCATTCTCTTCATTCCGCAGTTTCAGTTTATTTTGTAGGCTCGCAATCTTGTTTCTACTTGTATTATCAAATAATGCAAGAGAGGCAAACTCTATGGAGTCTTTAGCTACAGGGTCTTAAAAGTAATATCGAAGAATCACAGCTTCGACTTATTAAAGGTACTTCTTTGTAAAGGAACATCTGTTATCATACAGTTTTATAGAAATATTTTTTGAAGGTCGTCCGTACTAGTCTTTCAAAATGAACCAAATTAAAGAAATGTTAAATAAGTTAAAAAAAAAGGATGAACTGAACTATACTACAAGTGCCAGTCAAGAATAGTACTTTTAGGATTAAAATATTTTCTCCACTTCAAATATATTTCTGTACATATCTATTCTCATAGTAACTTACCGTTTGTAGAATACGCCATGTTATTAGCTTCTATAACATCAATGATAGGAACCAAGACAGCTGTTCTATCTTCTTCTATTCTAGAGAGCAACGGTTCCGCCCAACCTATGGTAGCTTCGCAATGTGCATCCAGGAATATCAAAACGTCACCCTGGGCCACCCTGGCGCCCTGAAGACGGGCGCGAATCAGTCCTAGACGGTGTTTGAGACGTACCATTTTGACCTTATAATTCGCCAGTCTCGTTTCTAGATAATAGTCGAGCAAACCCTTAAGAGACTCTAAAAAATACAATTGTGTAAAATAAACTTATATTTCAAGGTTAATGTTAGTCATAAGACATGTTAAGGTGTGTACAAACTAGTTTACAAAGGTGCCATCTACTGTGGCGGTCATAAACCAAAAGATTTTGATTTATGGTCGCCATATTATTTATGTTTTACGAATTATTGTTTCTTTTTGCTTTTCGCTGGCCACATTAGAAACTTTCAACATTGACATACATAACATACTTACTAAAAAACATATATGTGAACTTGACTATACCATTACTTACCATCTGTACTGGAATCGTCCACTAAAATGATTTCTTCTAATAGATGACTGGGCGTTTGTAGTATAACACTCCAAACCGTCCTCAAGATGACACTAAATAATTCGTTATAAAATATCACAACAACTGACGCTCTCAGCTTTGTATTATACGTAAAATTTTTACATCTAAAACAAAAAGAAGTTGAAAATGATTTATTTTTAGATAATAAAAAACATGTGATTACAAAAGACACATCCAGTACTAGAATCGTTTATCACATCTCATCTCGAGTTCGAATCACATATCGAGCCAGAGAAGATCTCAGTACACAGAGAAAATCGAAAATGAAGAAAGAAAAAACTTTCCAAGCCATGGGCCTCTAATGCCTTTAATGCTGTTGTATATATAATATAATAGCTTCGAGAATTTCCTCTTTGGTTGTAGCTTCTACTCCATTCTCTTCTACGTAGTTCGTACCCATTTCATCTTCCATGTTGTAACGATGTTCTGATCGTTTAACAGTTTAAACCGTGGGAGTGTCAATGTTGGCGCATCCACTTCTTCAACGAGACGGCGAAGTGGGATTCGCAGCAACTGTCTAATTCCGCTACTCACACGCATTAGTCTTGTGGCTAACGCTCTAGGCTCCCCGACTTGCAGGTATATTGAACCTGCGAGACAACCCGGACAGAGAGATTTTCGTATTGAGGATCATACCCTGTCCTTAGCTAAGCAGAACTCATCGGTATTGTGTATTGAACATTGCCGTGGGCCTGCACAGCCGAATATTCACATATTTTATTTGTTTGTTATTAATAATAACTTTTTCTTTCTTTTATAGACGTTCGCCGGGGAATTCCTTCATCGCGGGATCCAGACGGGGACGTAGGATTCGTTTTATTTTTATTTATTGTATATACGGCGGAGAATTCATTTTATTTTTATTGTACCGGGTGGTCCAATAAGCCGATCTCTCGGCTATATATCAGAAACTATTCATGTTATAACTTTAGGAGAAAAAATTTCTTAGTAAAAGTGGCCAAGAGAAATCGCTGGAAATAACTTTCAAGATTCTGGATTAACCGCTAGGGGCGTAACCTGCGAAGAAAATTTTGAAAACCAGTTTTTTGGGAAATATGTCCAATTATACCAAGTGTTAAATAAGTAAACTAGAAAGAGGCATAAATTCTGCACAAAGTTGTTCAAGTACTTTTTTTTATTTTTTCAAATAAAGGGTGGGGGAGAGTGGGAAAGTATTTGTGGATAAATACCTATAACTTTGGTTTGGATCAACCGATTTTAACAAAATTAGTGTCATTAGAAAGAGTATGGATGAATTAATTTACATCTACTATAAAATAATTGCATTCAGTTTTAATTGTCGTAGGTAGAGGGTACTTTCGAATAGAAAAAATTAAAATTTGTTTTTATTCAAAATTTTTAATGGAAACACCTATTTATTGTAAAGTATAATGGAACTGGATTAAATTCGTAACAAAATGGCGCAAACCGCATGTTAATAGCTTTTATCGAACTGGAGATATGAATAAAAACGCATAAACATAAGTAAGTATAGTATTGACACACCCTGTATTATAAAATAAATTAAAAAATTAATTAAAGTCAGTAGGTACTTTCAAAATTTTTTATAGCAGAAAACTCTTAATGTTGATACTTATTTTGACCATTGTTATTTCATATGATTAAAAATTGTTTTTTTGAAATTAAGTAGGCTACGACAATGAATTTGACAGGGACTTCATATTGTTTATTTATTGACAGCAGTCAAAATATTGTTAAGAAGTGTTATATGTATTATAATTCGAATTGAAAATTGCATTTTTTTCAATAGATATTAATATTGGTAATATTAGTAATTAATTATCAGTACCTACTAATAATTCGTGATGAGTATATCAAATTGTATGATATAATTGGAGTTTATTTCGAATATCACCAAAATGGCGCTATTGCCTCACGTATATATTCTGTAAGATATCCTGGCAGGAGATATTGTGGTAAAGAAGTAGAGATTTCGGACTACTTATATGCGGATTCTGTTGAATTAAAGCAAGAACATTGATTGAATTATCTTCGGTCATAACTCTACTACGTCGTTTAAAACAAGGACGAGAAAAACTACCAGTTTCTCTTAATCTTTTTGCCTTTCTTTCAAATACTTCTTTGCCATAATGTCTCCTGTCACGATATCTTACAAAATGTATACGTGAGGCAATATCGGCATTTTGGTGACATTCGAAATAAACTCCAATCATATCATACAATTTGATATACTCATCACGAATTATTGGTACTGATAATTAATTACTAATATTACCAATATTAATATCTATAGAAAAAAGTGCAATCTTTAATTCGAATTATAATATAGCACTTCTTAACAATGTTTTGACTGCTGTCAATAAATAAACAATATGAACTCCCCGTCAAATTCATTGTCGTAGCATACTTAGTTTCGAAAAAACTATTTTTTACAAAATAGGTATCAACATTAAGATTCTTCTGCTATAAAAAAATTTGAAAATACCTACTGACTTATTTTTTAATGTAATTTATAATACAGGGTGTGTCAATACTATACTTACTTATGTTTATGAGTTCTTATTCATATCTCGAGTTCAACAAAAGCTATTAACATGCGGTTTGCTCTATTTGGTTACGAATTAATTCCAGTTCCATTATAATTTACAATAAATAGGTGTTTCCATTAAAAATATTGAAGAAAAACAAATTTTAATTTTTTTTATTTGAAAGTCCCCTCTATCTACGACTATGAAAACTAAATGCAAGTATTTTATAGTAGATGTGACTTAATTCATCCACACTCTTTCTAATGACACTAATTTCATTAAAATCGGTTGATCCAAACCAAAGTTATAGGTATTTATCCACAAATACTTTTCCACTCTCCCCCACCCTTTATTTGAAAAAATAATAAAAAAAGTAGTTGAACAACTTTGTGCATAATTTATGCCCCTTTCTAGTTTACTTATTTAACACTTGGTATAATTGGACATATTTCCCAAAAAACTGGTTTTCAAAATTTTCTTCGCAGGTTACGCCCCCTAGCGGTTAATCCAGAATCTTGAAAGTTATTTCCAGCGATTTCTCTTGGCCACTTTTACTAAGGAATTTTTTTTCCTAAAGTTATAACATGAATAGTTTCTGATATATAGCCGAGAGATCGGCTTATTGGACCACCCGGTACATACGTTAAATTAATAGATTTATTTTTATTTCAACCTGTGTTTTACTAAGTCTGTCGCTCTGAAAGAGCTACCCGTTACAATGTCTACTTTTGTACCAAGTAGGGTCTGAGAATAATGCTTCCAGGTTTCTGTGACTTTCTGTTGGTCACTGATTATTTGCCCACTTTCATCTTTACATAAACTTGTTTGAGGTTTATACCCACTTTTTATCTTTTTTAGGTATTCGTAAGCCGCTGTATTTTCGTTGTTTTGAAATTTTCTTCCATTTTTTCTATTTGTCATTTTCATAGGCTCTTTTTTATTTCTACATATCTTGTCTGCTTTCCGTCTTGCGACTTCAAAGATGTTCGTCTTTCCCGTGTTCTTCTTGTTATATACATTTTGTGTGCTTCATTTCTTTCCTCTATTGCTTGTCTGCACTCGTCATCGAACCATGTTCCCCCTCTCGCCTTTTTCTTGGTTCCCATGGTGGATGCTGCCGCTGTCAGTACTGTTGTTTTTATATTATTCCATTCGCCCTCTATGGAGTGCAGTTCTAGCGTTCTTACGCGTAACTTCTCTTTACATACCCGAATCTTCAGTTTTTACAGGTCCAGTTTGTTTGTTCTTTGTTGTTTTCGTTTCCTTCTTTGTTACTCTGCATCTAAATTTGGTTTGGAGTAACAGATAGTCTGATCCACAGCATGCTCCTCGTCGTGTTCTCACATCTGAGATACTACTGGCTGCCCTCTTGTCTGTCAGCACATGGTCGATTTGATTATTTGTGGTTCCATCTGGTGAAATCCACGTCATTTTGTATATGTCTTTATGTGGGAAGCGTGTGGAATTTATAACCATGTTTTTACTGGTGGCAAAATGTATCAAAAACTCCCCATTCTCGCTTGTTTCATTGTGCAGTAGGTATTTTCCTGTTGTGTCATAGAACTGCAGCTCCTTGCCTATTTTAGCATTCATATCACCCATTATAATCTTGACGTCATTTTTGGGCGCATTGTCAAACATACTATCTCCTGCTGTTGGTAGAAGCTTTCCTTTGTATGTTGTTCTAGTTCTTCTGTTGGGCCGTGAATGTTTATAATTGTTAGTTTGAATAAGTGGGGCAGATTCCTAACTTGCATATCTTTTCACTGACTTCCTAGAAGTCTATGATTTTTACCACAAATGCAACTCCACATTCTTTACTTCCTTGTTCCTTCCCACTATATAGAATTGTGTGCGTTTTAGTGTCTCTGACACCTTTCCCCAACCATTTCGTCTCCTGAAGAGCAGTAATCATTAGCTTATATCTTTATAGTTCTTGCAGAAGTGCGGTTTGAGCTCCTGATTTATTTAGTGTCTTCACATTCCGGTTTCCAAAGATTCCTCCTTTACCCGGGCTTAAGACCGGCAGTGGTGACTCATGAGCTACTCGATCCATCAATTTATCACCACAGGCGAAAAAAGTCATCTGTTAACGTCAAATCTCTATATAAACAAGTTTTTAAGTTATGAGCAAAATATTGAGTTTGTCCTTTGATTGTTTATTTAAAAATATTTCCCTGGAAAAAATGATGAATCCCTAGTTGAAAGTTTTTTGTAATATATATCTCGTACTACACATTTGAACTGTCAAACCCGTCTATACAGTTATAACGAAAAAATTCTTATTTTTTACTAACTTCATTGATCTAACATAATAACATCTAATCAGAAAATATGGGACCCGTTTGACGCTATAGGAAGACCAAAAAAATTTAAAATATTTACTATATTTGACTAATGAATTATACATGAATCTATTACATTAGAAAAACACATAAATGTCAACTTTAGGAGCCATGACCTTAGTAACTTAGGATAATCTTCTAATAATATTAATAAAAGTGAAAATTTCAAGGTTAACAAGATAGTAGTGACATTTTACGCCTTTCACGTCGGAGTATAAATTTGCCTAACTGTTTTCTAAAAATATAACT